TATATATTTGGTTTTTCGAGACAGGGTTTCTCTGTGGCTTTTGGAGCCTGTCCTGGAACTAGCTCTTGTAGACCAGGCTGGTCTCGAACTCACAGAGATCCGCCTGCCTCTGCCTCCCGAGTGCTGGGATTAAAGGCGTGCACCACCACCACCCGGCACCTGTGTATATTTTTAAACACACTGTAAGCTGTTTAGAGGTTTTTGGGTTTTTATGTCTGAATCTGTTTTTACTGTATATCTTTCTTTTTGTGTCCACGTGAGTCTTTAATTTGCTAAGTGATATGGCTAGGATTAAAGTTGCAGCTTTGGCAGCTGGCTCCACCCACCTCCTTGGCTTCCTAGGGTCTAGTTTCATGGCAGAGGTACTGGCAGGAGCCATATTTTTCCCCCAACCCTATGGAGTGTCTAGGTCCATAACCACCAAGAAGCATGCCAGGGATGCTCATAAGCACCATTTAAGTGTTTGCTGCAAGATTTTTGCTGCTAGTGCTGAGTCAGGAATCCTCTCTTAAACAAACATAGCCAACTGAGAAAATGCTGTTACCAAGCAGCTGTACTTGACAACTCTGTTCTTTTCACTCTAGAATCCCTTAAAAAAATCCAAAAACGCCTCTCTCTGGCTTTAAATGGAAATTCTTGCCAAACATTTGGGTGCCATTATGTAGACGGAGACTGCACTTCCATTTCCCAACCACCCTGACCTATACAATTAATCATACAAACTATATTAATTATTACACTCATTAGCCAACGAGTCAGGCATATTCCTAGCTAGCTTTTGTGTGTTAAATTAACCCTTTTCTATTTATCTGTGTATCACCATGAGGCTACCAGTACAGTTCTGGCATCTTTCTCCTTCTGTAGCTACATGATGTTTGCCTGACTCCGCCTTCTTTCCTCCTCTATCTCTACTTGGATTTCCTGCCTTGCTGTATTCTGCCCTGCCATAGGCCAAAGCAGCTTCTTTAGTAACCAATGGTAATAAGACATACTCATAACATACAGAGGGGAATCCCACATCATACATTCATTCTCACATACTATTGCAACTTTTCTGTGTGTGCAACACAGTTGTCCACAGGCACATATGCCTGTTTCTTTCATGGAGTTTTCACTGTATAGAAAAAATAATTTTTATATTGTTAAGCAATTTTGTAAAAATACTTGTTTGGGGCTTTGGATTTGTGTGTTTCTGTTTGTTTTGTTTTGTTTTGAGACAGTCTCTCTGTGCAGCCCTGACTCTTCTGTTACTTGAAACTATAAATCATGTTGGCCTTGTACTCACAGAGATTTGCCTGCTTTTGCCTCTCTAGTGTTGGAGCTAAAAGTGTGTGCCTCCTTGCCAGGGTTTAAAATATTTGTTGAAGGAAAAATGATGGAGTCGTGAATAGTAGCAGAGATAGGTTGGTTTGGTTGAGCCTCGAGATTGGTGTGGTAGTGATCATGATACTTTCTCTAGGAAGTTAAGTTTAAGATGAAATGTGAATTGTGAATAACAGTAAACTAGGGGAAGGCACTGTACACTAAAGGAAGAACATAGATCATGGATTTCTGATGTGGGAAGGTCATTGGTTAATCAATAAAGAAACTGCTTGGCCTCATAGGTTAGAACATAGGTGGGTGGAGTAAACAGAACAGAATGCTGGGAGGAAGAGGAAGTGAGGTCAGACTCAATAGCTCTCCTTTCTGAGGCAGACACGATGAAGCTCCTACCCAGGATGGATGTAGGCTAGAATCTTCCTCGTAAGCACACCTTAGGGTGCTACACACATTATTAGAAATGGGCTCGTCCAGGTGCGAGAGTTAGCCGAGAAGAGGCTAGATATAATGGGCCAAGCAGTGTTTAAAAGAATACAATTTATGTGTTGTTATTTCGCGGCATAAGCTAGCCAGGCGGCTGGGAGCAGGGTGGCAGGAATGCAACCCACAGCTCCTTCAACAGATTTCATTCTCCTCCATGACTCTTTTTCTATGCCATAATTTCTCTATTCACTTACTTTTCATTTTCATTACAATTTAGAAAAATGTTGAAGTATAATTAATTATAACTGTTGAGAATAGTACTGAGTTTTTTTTTTCCTCAGTCCTGAGGAAAAATATCAGTTTTTTGACTGTATGATAGTTTGCAGTTTGAGTTCTGTGGATTGTCAGGCAGTGAGGCCATGGAAGACACCAGTTTTGCTGTATTAAGTCCACCCGTGATTTTATGCTTATGTAATACATTGAATCTTACAAAGAGGTAAGTGGCCTATTTTTACCTAAATATGTGCTCCTATTTAAACTAATTGAGTATACTATATGGAGTAATGTCTAAAACTCATTGGTTGGAGATCATAGTTTTATCAAGTTTTTTGTTTGTTGTTTATTTTGTTTTGTTTTGATTTTTTTGAGACAGGGTCTTATTATGTGGATATGACTGACCAGAACCTTGCCACCTAGGCCAGGCTGACCTTGAACTAGCTTGGGTTTTCTTTTTCTACCTTAGTAGTTATCAGCTTATGTTTTATGTATTGTATAATATTGTCATTGTAGCAGAAAAAATCTTTTAAATATGAGGCAAATTCAGAAAATAAAATTAATCTATCAATCAGTTCAATGTTTCTCATTTAAAAACTACATGTTGTTCATTCTTATCAGTTATAAAATATAATAGAAATTCTAGAACTGACTGAAATTTTTGGTAAGTTAGAAAAAAATGGTTTGAGAACAAAGTTGGGTAGAAAAAGTAAATGATCAATTATTCTTTGTCTTCACCAAGAGTTTCTCAGCACAGTTACAGGTGAGGTGTGGGTTTGCTTGGAGCCGTCCAGAGCCAGTGCAATGCTGGCAAGACATGTCATAGCAGGGGCAGATGAGATACCACCACTGTGTTCTGTTTTAAACAAAATAGGCATCTCAAGCATACAGTGATTTTGTGTTTAATACAGTTTTTCTGACTGGGCAGTTTATATAAGTCAACGTAGTTGAGAAAATATGCTTTAGAAGTATCTAGCCATTTTCTTTATTTCAGTACCGTCATATTCTTGAGTGACGTAGTTCTCTTAAGTCTGAGCCTTATTCAACTTACCTGTAAAATAGGAAACTGTCCATAATGAAGTAATATAAATTGGTCATAATGTTGAAAGCCCACGTTACTCATTTGTTTTACAGTTTCGTTTTGTCTCAGGTTATAATGTTTGTGTTCTTTTTATTCCATTACTAATAATATAATGCCCTACTCATGAGCTTTATAGAAACAGGATATTCAGTGAACATGTGCTAACGTATTACATACAAGACCGCATGAGATAAATTTACAGTAATGAATAGGATAATCCTAGTGAGCAAAAATCTAGCCAATTTTTTCTTACTTTCCTTCCTAATACTTTTCTGTCCTTCTTTGAATTTAGGAGTATGTATCCTGTTTGGAAATCTTTTCTTGAGGGAACAATGCAGGTAGCCCAATCTCGGATCAATATATGTGAAAACTATAAAAACTTCATTTCTGAACCTGCAAGGACAGTAAGAAGCTTAAAAGAACAGCAACTAAAACGGGTATTGTTTCTCTTTTCTGTCTTCTTTTATATATAAATTTTAATACTTATAACCAGTAAGATTATGTTATAATTGCATTTAAAACTTAGAACTTTAAAAAAAAGTGTGTTCACAAATGTTCCTGGGTAGCATTTTTAACAGGATTTTTTAACATGTGCCTGTTTTATTTTTCAAGACAGGGTTTCTCTGTGTAGCCCTGGCTGTCCTGGAACTCCCTCTGTAGACCAGGCTGCCTTGAACTCAGAGAGTCATTTGCCTCTGCTTTCCGAGTGCTGCAATTAAAGGCATTATGTGTGTTAAATACTTACATTATTAATCCCACTAAGTCTTAAAAAAGTTTGCTTAATCAGTCTTAATTTCAAGTTGGGCCATTTTGGGAAACTTAAAGAAATTAACACATTTTGCCAAATATACTTGTAACTTTAATTTTTAAAAGTCTAGAATAGCTGGGAATGGTGGTCACACCTTTAATCGCAGCACTTAGGAGACACGGGCACATGGATCTTTACGTTTAAGGCTATCCTGATACCATAATGAGTTCCAGGCCAGCTTGGAAATATTGTAATATAAACCTAGGTTGTCCTCCCACAAAGCCCAACTTCTTGATGCCATTGTAGGAACTCAGGTCTGTTTCCCGGGGATATCAAAGCCTCTCACATTTTCATACTCTGCCTAGTTTAATTTCTCTTTAGCCTAAAATAAAACTGCATTAGGTCCTAGGGAGAAAAACTAGATATTTGAATTGTGTCCCTTTTTTTGGTAAATTAGGTTACCATGATACCTGATAAAGTTCTTTCTTAGAAATTACTAATACTTCAGAAAATAGTAAAGTAATTACTTAAGGAGGTGACATTTCAGGAGTCATACAATGTTTGGTTTTAATTTTATTTGGATTTTCAGATATTAAAAGAACCCTCATATTCTATAGGCCAAAAACTATTTCAATAATCCAGAGTTAATATTAAATATTTATACATATGCATACAAATTCTGTATCTTTCTAGAATACTCATCTAATATCATTTGGCTTAAAAGATATTTGTGTAAGAAGATCTGTGACTTATCTTTGCCAAAGATGATCACTTTCAAAGGAAGCATGGTAAACAAAGTATACAACCCCTGCCAATGATTTATTTTTATCTTTTTGGATTTTTTTAGACAGAGTTTCTTTATTTAACAGCCCTGACTGTGGAACTTGCTTTGTAGACCAGGCTGGCCTCGAACTCACAGAGATCCACCTGCCTCTGCCTCCCGAGTGCTGGGATTAAAGGTCTTCATCATGCACAGCTTTGTCAATGATTTGTAGTTAGAGGCAAATAGAGTATATGAGTTTGTGTCTGAGGTTTGAGGGGAGGAAGGTATGTGGTTTTGTAGGAGGAGTAGAAGGTAGAACAGAGACTTTATTCTGATGTCCTGTCCTGGTGTAAATACCACATTTCCAGTTGACAGCATATTTGCCAAATTAGTTACTGGAGTTTCATCTTTTTTCAATAACACAATGTTTTGAAAGAGTATTACTACTTTTGATGGCTTTTCTCTTTCGTTATTGGAGTAATCTTAGACCTGAATCTTACCAGCATTCCTGGGCAAGGAGTATTTTATGTGATTGAACAATTCCCTTTCCTGTGAATGACTTTGTTTTATATTGTAGTTGGTGAGGCTATTATGTGCCATCTAGAAAGTTTTCGAACATTACGTACCTATTGAGGTACTTGTCAAAGCTTTGGGATTGATAATAACTGACATCTCCTTTAAACTGCCTTAAGCCCAGAGGAGACCATGTTAGTTTATATCTCTAAAATTTCTGGGATTTTATGTACAGATATATCCAGGATCTCAAACACTTATATTTAGAATTCACATTAAAAAAATCCACCCAAAAAAAAAAAAAAAGCCGGGCGGTGGTGGCGCACGCCTTTAATCCCAGCACTCGGGAGGCAGAGGCAGGCGGATCTCTGTGAGTTCGAGACCAGCCTGGTCTACAAGAGCTGGTTCCAGGACAGGCTCCAAAACCAGAGAAACCCTGTCTCGAAAAACCAAAAATAAAAAATAAAAAAATCCACCAGTTTTTTTAGCAATGTATTTCTTTTTTATTTAATAGTAGTGTTATTAGTGTGTATGATGGGTGTGCATTGTGGAGGTTGGAGGACAGCGTCCAGGAGTTTTTATCTGATGAACCACCTCTCTGGCTTGATGGCCTCTTCCTTTCTCTTTAAGCAATTCTCACTAGGCTATAGCTAGGCAACCTTAGATTTATCTTCTTTCCTTACCAGAGTTGATTTCCATACTGCCTGAATCGTTTAGCTGGTATTTAAATAAATATTTTTTGTTTGTTTGTTTGTTTGTTGAGACAGGGTTTCTCTGTGTAACAGTTTTAGCTCTCCTGGAACTCACTCTGTAAACCATGCTGGCTTTGATCTCAAGGAGATCGGCCTCTCTCTGACTTCAAAAGAGCTGGGGTTAAAGGCTTGTGCCACCACCTCCTAGCTTTAAATAAATCTTATTGTAGTTTTTTTGGGTTTGGAATTTTTGACTCACTTAAAAAAACAGAATTTAGCCAGGTGGTGGTGCCGCATACCTTTAATCCCAGCACTCAGGAGGCAGAGTCAGGCGGATCTCTGTGAGTTTGAGGCCAGCTTGGTCTATAAGAGCTAGTTCCAGGACAGGCTTTAAAGCTACAAAGAAATCTGTCTCGAAAAAACAAAAACAAAAACAAAACAACAACAACAAAAATCTTGTGTTTCTGTTACAATTTTTTATGTTTTTCTTTTATTCTGTTTTATTCTTTAAATATTTCTTTCCTTTTTCGTTTGTAGTACTACGGGTTGAACACAGGGCCTTGTGTGTACTAGGAAAGCTTTCTACTATTGAGCCTTGAGCCATATCTTGACCTTTTATTTAATTATGTTAAACACATTAATCATAATTCTACTATATGAGTCATACTGGTCACTTTATTATTGGACATCTTGTCTTGGTTTCCATCATGTGGGTCCCAGGAAATTAAACTCAGTAATTTGGGCCTACTGTATACTGGATACAATGGATAAAAAACTTTGAAGGTTCTGGGACATCTCTGCCAAAGAGAATAGAGTTTGACAGGCTGGCAGATTTCTAGCCCTAATCCCATTGGGGCCTTTTGTGATATTTTGTTTGTGTTTTAACAAATGAAGCTTGCCTGAAGATCAGAGTGCAGAGCTAAACCACTAGAGGCCAGGCAGTGGTGGTCCACACCTTTAATCTCAGGGCTTGGGATCTCTGTTAGTTCAAGGCCATCCTGGGTTACTTGAGATTGACTCTGTCTAAAAGAGAAACAGAGCTCATACAAAGGTGATCTCCACACTTGGGATCCCTCGCCTTTAATCCCAGCACTAGGGAGGTGGAGACAGAAGTGATATGGCTTGGCGGAGGGAGAAATATAGGATGGGAGGAGATGGGATCCCAGTGCAATCTGAAGAACAGTCTAAAGCAGTCAGTCTGAGGTGCAGTCTGAGGAGGCTGTCTGAGGACGAGGTCCGAAGACAGGATCACCTCTTTGGTCTGAGCATTGATAGAAGTAAGAATTCTAGTGACTGGACATTCTGCTTCTCTGATCCTTTCACCCCCAAATACCCGATTCCCAAGTTTTTATTAAGAACAATTAGAATTCGTGCTACAGGGGTCTGGTTTGGGTCATTCTCAGGCTTGGTTTATTGTACTTTCTCCTGTGGGATACTTACCCACTGTCCTCGCAGAGCATGTGGCTGCTCTGACCCTCTGATCTCTGCTGAACACTTGGCCCCTCAGCTACTGTTTACTAGATTTATTGACGTTTCATCTCCCACACATGCTTTTTAGAAGCCAGCTAATGACTCGGGGAAATTGTATTCAGTTTTGTTTGTTTTTTACTTTCTTACTAGAGCTTTGTTTTATAAGTTGCTGCTTTTTTGGCAAGCTTTTTCTACAGAGTAGAAGAGTAATACCAATTTATGTTTATAGCCTTTTTAAAACTTTGAAATGTATACTATATGTGTGTGCGGGTATATATATACATACACGTGTGTGTATGTGTGTATTGAAGTCTATTCTCTCCTTCCATCATGTGGCTCCCAGGAATCAAACTCGGGTCGTCAGCTAGCCTTATCCCCAGAACTACCTCACCAGCCCTAATTGTAGTCTTTGTGCCATGACTCAGTAACTGCTGTAAGTGGAGAGAGAAGCCAGGTGGAAAGCTCTCCTGGGTATGCATCCTTTCTCCCGGGTCTCCCAGTCACAACCATTACCTGACTGAGGAGGTAGACTGACCCACGTTATTCTCTCACTGTCAGAATTCATTTTTGGCCAAAGTATTCTTTCTGCAGCATTTTAAACTTTATTTTTATCTTTTGGTTTATGACAAGATCTCATTTTATACCTCCAGCTGACTTGGAGCTTACTATTGACCAGCCTAGCTTTGATTCTGTGGCCGTTGTCCCACCTCAGCCTCCAATTGCTGAGATTACAAGCATGCAGCAATGTGCCTGGCTTCTCTGTGACATTTTAAAGCTCATGTCCCAGGGGCTTTTGCTGAGTGGTTAAGAGCACTTGTTATTCTTGTAGACTAGGATCTGGGTTTGATTCCCAGCCCCCACATTGTAGTTTACAACTGTCCATAACTTCCAGTTCCAGGGGATCTGATGTCCTCTTCTGACCTCCACAGGGCAGTAAGCATGTACAAGGTGTATATACATATAGGCACACATAAAATAAAATGAATAAATCTAATTTTAAAAGTTAAGTTCATTTTCTTTTTAAAATTTTCTCTGTTTGGCTTAAAAAATAGTACTTAGAGATAAACACTTAGACACATTGTAATTGTTGTCTATGGTAACAGAAATTATAGCCAGGCGTTGGTAGCACATGCCTTTAATCTCAACATTTGGGAGGCAGAGGCAAATAGATCTCTGAGTTTGAGGCCAACCTGGTCTGCACAGGAATTACCAGCTACAAACCAACAAACAAATAAATTTCATATGTAGGTATTATTATGACTTCAGGTGTTTGGTGTTATTGCTGTTGCTGGTTTTGTTTTGTTTTGTTGACAGTCCAGGCTACCCTGAAACTCACTATGTAACGGAGGCTGACTTTGAACTCCTGATTCTCGTTCTGGCTCCACCTCCCAATTGCTGGGATTGTAGACATGTTCCACTCAGATAATTTTTTATTTTATGCTGACATGCTTATAAGTTAAAACAAGAGCAATAGTAGTTGAAAGCTTTTAGCTATTCTTCTATTTCCTTACCTATATTTTTCTCTTTATAATAAAATATACTTACCATTCTTGAAAGCGGGGCGATGGTGGCGCACGCCTTTAATCCCAGCACTCGGGAAGCAGAGGCAGGCAGATCTCTGTGAGTTCGAGACCAGCCTGGTCTACAGAGCTAGTTCCAGGACAGGCTCCAAAGCCACAGAGAAACCCTGTCTCGAAAAACCAAAATGTATATATATATACACACACATATATATGTATATATACACATACACTTAGCTTGCAAGACCCTCAGTTTGGATTCCTCTCGCACCACACAGACACACATAAAGAATCAATATAAAGAATCAATTTTTTGTGCCCATGAGGAGACAGAGACAAAGACAGAGACCCACATTGGAGCACCGGACTGAAATCTCAAGGTCCAAATCAGGAGCATAAGGAGAGAGAGCACGAGCAAGGAACTCAGGACCGCGAGGGGTGCACCCACACACTGAGACAATGGGGATGTTCTATTGGGAACTCACCAAGGCCAGCTGGCCTGGGTCTGAAAAAGCCTGGGTTAAAACCGGTCTCGCTGAACATAGCAGACAATGAGGACTACTGAGACCTCAAGAACAATGGCAATGGGTTTTTGATCCTACTGCACCTATTGGTTTTGTGGGAGCCTAGGCAGTTTGGATGCTCACCTTACTAGACCTGGATGGAGGTGGGTGGTCCTTGGACTTCCCACAGGGCAGGGAACCCTGATTGCTCTTTGGGCTGACGAGGGGTGGGGACTTGATTGGGGGGGGGGGAGGGAAAGGGGAGGCGGCGGTGGGGAAGAGACAAATCTTTAATAAATAAATAAAAATAAATCTGAAAAAAATCATTTTTTTAGCGTCTTAGAGTTTACAAACTGCTACCATATCTAATATAGTTGCAATTGATTTTCATATTAACATGAATAAGAATATATTGTATTTTATAAATGTTAAAATTGAAGCCAAAATATTTAACAGATTTAAACAGTAATGTGAATATGCTCTTTGTTAAATTCTGACTTGATATAATTTATAAAAACATTTCGAGTCTAATATTTAAACAGATTTATAGAAAAATATTTACAAGACCTTTACATAGTATATTTCATTCTTTTATTCATATTTGTGCGTGTCAGGATGTGCACTGTGTGCAGCAGGTGCCTGCAGAGGCCTCAACAGGGTGTTGGAGTCCCTGGTGCTGGAAATCAGACTAGGGTCCTGTACAAAAGTAGTACATGTTTTTAACCCCTGAAACATCTCCATACACTTAAAATATACTTGATTAAGATTATGAAAAATACAGTTACTTTATTTTTTTGATTTTATTGTCAAGATGTTTGCAACAACTTGAGTCTTTTAACTTAATGTCAGCAACAGCATTGTGGTTATTTCCAAAGAATGATGGATAGGCAAACTATGACACTGTTTGGTACAGTACTTGAGATGGAAGTACTAGCTGTTCTCCAGATTTTAATTTGCCACTCAAGGACAATAAATTGCTGACTTTTCTCCCGAGTTTCCAACCTGAAGGCATGTTACGCAGTCTTTAGGATGAACTCATTTTCTGTAAGCCTGAAAACTAAACTTTTAATAATTGCATTTTTTGCATTTTACAGTGTGTGGACCAGTTGACAAAAATCCAAACAGAATTACAAGAAACTGTGAAAGATTTAGCAAAAGGTAAAAAGAAGTACTTTGAGACTGAACAGATGGCTCATGCAGTAAGAGAGAAAGCTGACATCGAAGCAAAGTAAGTATTTTAGCATTTCTAAGAGAACAGATACAAGCAAATGTTATCTTTATTAATGCTTTGTTCTCTCTTAATAGAAAGTCTATACTTACTCTTAGTTGTGCTGGATTTGTTTGACCTCCATGTATTTTATGCAATAGATGATATTTTTTCTTGTATTCGCTAGTTTTATCTATTTTAATATGACAAAAGAGAGGTATTTGATAATTAAATTGAGTTTTAAAAAGGAAAGAAAATAAACATTATGTTTACAGACTTCAGAACTTACTGACAGTTTAAAGTTGCTGTCAGTCAGTGTTTAAGAGCCCAGTGTTGATCATGCTGGCCGTAATTGTTGAAAACTTCTGTGAATCTCATGTATCATTGAAGGATCATGGTACATCAAGTAAGGCTGGACCCATGTAAAAGCTCTTCTGAAGCACTGGGGTTTTTTTTCCCCTCCTTATTTTTTTAACATGAAATTTAGTATATGTACATTTTCATCTGTACTTTAGTAGTTGGTTAATATCAACTTCAGGTGTATGCATTATAGTTCTTTATTTTGACAATAATAGGAAATGAAGGTACTACACTTAGTTATAAGATATATAAATCACACAAAATAGAGCTTTCCCAAGACCACTTGATAGCATCTATGCTTGGAAGAGCAAATTTCACATCAAGCCAAGAAGTACATTTAGTTTGGAGTCTAACTCAGGTGGTGGCGGTGTCGTTTTCCCATTGGCTGATGTCCATCCTTACAATCTTGTTCAGGTGACTGAATAAAAATTGGTGCACAGGAAATGAAGGAAAGTAGAAAGGGGTCACTGCTCCAGCCCTCTAAATTCCTAGGATAGAGCAGTGGGGCTTTGTATAAGGAGAAATTTTACTGGGTGGGGAAAATTAAAATATTGGCATAGCAAGGTGGGAGATATAAAAAAGATTTGAATTTCTTGTCCCAAACACAAGTTTTAGAGTTTCTGTCGGGCGGGTGTGTGGGGGGGGGGAACCCCTCATATTTGATATTTCTTACACTGGTGAAAAAAAAAAAAACACCAATACCACCACCAGCTGTGCTGCAGAGCTGGATTCTGAAAACTTCTGTGAACAAAAAAGCTAAGATTTGTGTCCATAGTGCTTGCTTGCACAAAATCTGAATTCCATGGCTTAAAGTCAGACAGCCTATTGTACTCTTCTTGTACATCGTGGCACAGGAGATATTTCTCCAGCATTTTTATATGCAAGAAATTTTTGGGCTGGAGAGATGGCTCAGTGGTTAAGAGCATTGCCTGCTCTTCCAAAGGTCCAGAGTTCAATTCCCAGCAACCACATGGTGGCTCACAACCATCTGTAATGATGTATGGTGCCCTCTTCTGGCCTGCAGGCATACAAGCAGACAGAATACTGTATACATAATAAATAAATACTTTTTTAAAAAAGAAATTTTAGATGTGTATTTTTATTAATTTTCTATAATTTCATATATTTGTACAATGTATTTTTATTGTATTCATTCCCTCTTTTCCTCCTAATTTTTCCCACATCCATGTCAACCTCCTATCCCTTCACAACTTCATGTCCTATTTGCTGTTAATCACCCACAGAGTACAGTGCACTGCCAGTATACTCATGGGTGTTGGGCTGTTTACTGGTGTGTCACCAATTACCAGGGGCATACTCAAAAAACCTGACTTTCCCACCCCATAAGCTCATCAGCTATGTTGGGGCTCTTGAGCCTCTTCCCCCTCTACACTAGAATTTTTACTTGATCTTGTCTTACGTGGACAACCACAGCTTCTCTGAGTTCATGAGTGCAGATGCCCTGCCGTGTTCAAAAGACAGTTGTTTCACTCCAGTACTCTATCTGCAAGAAATTCTTTTTGACTTCAGTGTTCTGATCCCCATTATTTTTTTATTATTTATTTATTTATTTATTAAAGATTTCTGTCTCCTCCCCGCCACCACCTCCCATTTCCCTCCCCCTCCCCCCGTCAAGTCCCCCTCCCTGGCCCGAAGAGCAATCAGGGTTCCCCTCCCTGTGGGAGTCCAAGGACCTCCCACCTCCTTCCAGGTCTAGTTAGGTGAGCATCCAAACAGCCTAGGCTCCCACAAAGCCAGTACGGGCAGTAGGATCAAAACCCAGTGCCATTGTTCTTGAGGTTTGAGTAGTCCTCATTGTCCGCCATGCTCAGCGAGTCCGGTTTTATCCCATGCTTTTTCAGACCCAGGCCAGCTGGCCTTGGTGAGTTCCCAATAGAACATCCCCATTGTCTCAGTGTGTGGGTGCACCCCTCGCGGTCCTTGCTCATGCTCTCTCTCCTTCTGCTCCTGATTTGGACCTTGGGGTTTCAGTCCGGTGCTCCAATGTGGGACTCTGTCTCTCTCCTTTCATCGCCTGATAAAGGTTTATATCCAGGAGGATGCCTATATGTTTTTCTTTGGGTTCACCTTCTTATTTAGCTTCTCTAGGATCACGAATTATAGGCTCAATGTCCTTTATTTATGGCTAGAAACCAATTATTAGTGAGTACATCCCATGTTCCTCTTTTTGGGTCTGGCTTACCTCACTGAGGATAGTGTTTTCTATTTCTGTCCATTTGCATGCAAAATTCAAGAAGTCATTGTTTTTTACTGCTGAGTAGTACTCTAATATGTATATATTCCATACTTTCTTCATCCATTCTTCCATTGAAGGGCATCTAGGTTGTTTCCAGGTTCTGGCTATTACAAACAATGCTGCTATGAACATAGTTGAGCATATACTTTTGTTGTATGATAGGGCATCTCTTGGGTATATTCCCAAGAGTGGTATTGCTCGGTCCATGGGTAGGTTGATCCCGACTTTCCTGAGAAACCGCCACACTGCTTTCCAAAGTGGTTGCACAAGTTTGCATTCCCACCAGCAATGGATGCGTGTACCCCTTTCTCCACAACCTCTCCAGCAAAGGCTATCATTGGTGTTTTTGATTTTAGCCATTCTGACAGGTGTAAGATGGTATCTTAAAGTTGTCTTGATTTATCTGCAAGAAATTTAAACAACTTCATTTCATAAAAAATTGGTAGGCGCCTAAAATTTAATTTAGCTCAAAATGATGGTAAATGAATGCTCATCACATTTTTAATCCTACAGGGAACATTTAACATTTCCCTAATCACTTTTCTTGGTTTATTGCTCTATTTTTTTAGTATATAATTATTTTTTGTAGTTCACTAAGTTCATCTTCTCTCTAAGACCTAAAAAGTTTTTTCTTTAATTTACTATTACTATTATTAACTATTAATTATTATTATAATTATCATCATCATCATCATCTGTGTGAACATAAGACAGTAAGATTACAAATAGTTGTCAGCTGTCATGTGGTTACTGAGAACTGAATCCAGATTGTTTCCAAGAACAAGTGCTCTTAACTGCTAAGCCATCTCTCTAGTCTTGACCTGAAACTTTTAAATTGGGAAAATCTCCTCAGCCTTTGTGGGCTTTATGAACTTATTCTTTAAACTTTTCAGAGAATTCTTAGATTGTAGAGCTTATGTAAATACCTTGGGTAGCCATGATGCCAAGGGTGGAAAGAAACATCGACTGGTCCCTGAGAGGTCTAGAGCCTAGGTGACAGCTGTGCAACCAGGGCTGCCTTCATGGCTCCAATGCAGAGCAAGACATTTTAGGTCAGTATGTAATTTCTCTAGCTATTAATTTAACTAAAAAGTATTCCAGTTCTTTCATTCATTCACTCAGTGCTGATTGAATTAGTAGTTTATTTGGGGTATTATGAGTATAGAGATCAGTACAATAAAGTAAGCTTTGTGTCCTCGAGTGTGGAATCTAGAATAAGAGCTTTCATTTAAACATAATTTTATGATTTGTTCATTAACAGTAAACTCAAAAGAAAAAATGCCTAAAACACTCATTTAGTAACTATTTATAGAAATAATATGAAAACACTAACAAAAGTTTAAAAGATGAAGATTAATTTTTTGTAATGATAAGGGAAGCTTTTATATAAATAGTGATGTTTGAGCTTAGTATAATTTTCACCCTTTGCATGGCTTAAATCACCAGCAGGAGAACTCCCCCCCCTTTTTAAAACAAACAAATAGTGGAGGAGGGTTAGGGAGAGGGCATGTTTGTCCCTGAATGTCTTCTCTCCTTAGAATTAAGAGTCTGCCTTTGCTACTCTTCAGAGACTGACTGCTTTGTTTTCCAATCCTAAGTGGTCTGACTGTACTTAATATTAAGGTATAGCTTCCAGCACATGTGTTGAATTCTTCCTTGGCAATCACCATAACACTGCAGTCAAGACAGACTTTGCAAGTTCAGAAAAATTACTGGTGGCAATCTTACCAAAAGCAATTAACAGATTCAAAGCAATGCCCATCAAAATCCCAGCAAAATTCTTCAAAGACCTCGAAAGAATGGTACTCAACTTCATATGGAAAAGCCAAAACAATCCTGTACAATAAAAGAACTTCTGGAGGCATCACAATCCCTGACTTCAAACTCTACTACATAGCTACAGCACTGAAAACAGCCTGGTACTGACATAAGAACAGACAGGAGGACCAATGGAACCAAATAGAAGACCCAGATACCAATCCACACATCTTCAAGCACCTGATTTTTGACAAAGAAGCAAAAAGTATCAAAGGAAAAAAAGAAAGCATATTTAACAAGTGGTGCTAGCATAACTGAGTATCAACATATAGAAGAATAAAAACAGATCCAGATCCATATCTATCACCATGCACAAAACTCAAGTCCAAATGGATCAAAAACCTCAGCATAAAGCCAGCCACACTGAACCTTATAGAAGAAAAAGTGGGAAGTACACTTGAACGTGTTGGCACTGGAGACCACTTCCTAAATATGACCCCAGCAGCACAGACACGGAGAGAAACAATTAATAAATGGGACCTCCTGAAACTGAAAAGCTTCTGAAAAGCAAAGAACACTGTCAACAAGACAAAATGAAAGCCTGCAGAATAGGAAAAGATCTTTACCAACCTCACATCAGACAGAGGTCTGATCTCCAAAATATATAAAGAACTCAAAAAAAATCAGTCATCAAAAGAACAAATAATCCAATAAACAAAATGGAGTACAAACCTAAACAGAGAACTCTCACAGAGGAATCTAAAATGGTTTAAAGACACTTAAGGAAATGTTCAACATCCTTAGTCATCAGAGAAATGCAAATCAAAACAACTCCGAGATTCCATCTTATACCTATAAGGATGGCCAAGATGATGACAACTTATGCTAGAGAGGTTATGGGGAAAAGGGAACACTCCTGCATTGCTGATGGGAATACAAGCTGGTACAGCCCCCTTTGGATGTCAGGGTGGTGATTTCTCAGAAAATTAGGAAAGGACCTTCCTCAAGACCCAGTAATACCACTTTTTGGTATATATCCAAAGGATGTTCAACCATGCCACAAGGACATGTGCTCAGCTATGTTCATAGCAGCTTTGTTTGTCATAGCCAGAACCTGGAAACAACCTAAATGCCCCTCGACCAAAGAATGGATAAGGAAAATGTGGTACATTTACACAATGGAGTACTACACAGCAGAAAAAAAAAGTAACGACGTCATAAAATATGCAAGCAAATGGATGGAACTAGAAAACATCATTTTGAGTAAGGTGACCCATACCCAGAAAGATAATTGTCATATGTAGTCACTCATAAGTGGTTTTTAAACATAAAGCAAAGAAAACCAGCTCACAAATCACAATTCCAGAGAACCTAGACAACAATGAGGACCCTAAAACAGACATACATGGACCTAATCTACATGGAAAGTAGAAAAAGACAAGATCTCCTGAGTAAATTGGGAGCATGGGACCTTGGGAGAGGGTTGAAGGGGAGGGGAAACGCAGTGAGGGGAGTAGAGAAAAATGTAGAGCTCAATAAAAATCAATAAAAAAAAAAAGAAAAATCACTGGTCATGGTAGTCTTTCTTATTCACTTAGCATTTGACTGTTGACTTTTTTCTATGTAGTTATCTCTAGTCTTAAATGAGCATATATATACATATATATTTAAAATGCAAACATAATTTTAGTACTAATGGTTATGGTTTCTTTCACAAGATTAAGGGTACCAGTGCTGAGTGGAACATGACTCATTGAAGAATCAGAATCACACAGGGCAGAGTCATTCAGAATTCCTTTAGAAGTGAAGGGGAACACGGGGTGTCCCAGAGCCTACGGATGCCCTCTGACCTGCTCCAGCTGTTAACAGATGAAGACGAACAAGTGTCACTCTCAGTTTCCTGCTTTTAGCTTAGCTTTAGAACAGTATCTTTAAAAAAACTATTTTAAATTAAGTAGTTATAAGTTAATCTCACTGTAGAGTCTATAATGTTTTTAAATATGCCTTTCTATTTTTATCATAGGTCTAAACTTAGTCTTTTTCAATCAAGAATCAGTTTACAGAAAGCAAGTGTGAAGGTGAGTTTTTCTTTTGTTTTTAATTTTCAAGACAGGGGTTCTTTGTGTGGCAACCATGGCTTTCCTGGAACTCTCTTTACAGACCATGCTGGCCTTGAAATATGCCTGCCTCTGCCTCTTGGAGTGCTGGGGTTAAAGGCGCCACTATGCCTGGCTGAAGGTGAGTATTTGAATAGTATACATCACAAATGGGAAGCCTCTTGGCTTTTAAAATAAACAATTGAATCTATCAATAGTGGAGGTAGGTTATTTCTACCCTGGAAAAGCATTTTAAGGTCAGTAACTCAAACATGAGCTCTCTCTCCCAATACTTGGAATTTTCCACATAGCTGTTGACACTTTGGGCACAGCTTGCTTTTCAAGACTACTTTAGGGATAGATGTCCTTGACAGTTAGTTTAGAGATACAGTACAAGAACTTTAGGCAGTGCTCAGGATCTTTCTCTCAGACAGACCCTCAGCAGGCCTTCTGGATCAAATGGAAGCAGGTGTTCATATGGGCCTGCAGATTGAGTACCTAAAGGTCAGCTGCTGAGATGACCGTCTTGTGAGGCTCCCAGCAGAAGGCAGTTTTTCTGGCACATTAGGCATTGTAAATAGTTTTTGGCTAGTGAATTAGCTTAGCAGGTAAAGGCATCTTCAGCCAAGTCCGATGACCTGAGTTCAATTTTCAGATCCTACAAAATGGAAGGAGAGAACTTACTTCCTGTGTGTTGTGTGTTATCCTCTGACAAGCATGCATAGTATGTGTGCATATATTGCCAACAAATAAAAAAAGTTACAAAAAATCTAAATAGTTCTTAAAAACTATTTTCTAACTCTACTAGGTTTATCAGTGCTTTAGAAGGTAATGTATCTGATTTCAAACCTATTTATTTTCATACCTCAATAAAATGAACAAAATATTTTGAGTTTCTCCATAATGCTTCAGAAGTGTATTAAATATAATTAAGGTACTATAAAACTGTATAGTGTTTTCTAGACATGAATGTGTACCGTGTCTGAACAAGACCTGCGCATAATGACACCAGCATAGACAAGGGAAATCTCACGTGATCTCACTCTTACATAAAGAGCGACAGGTCTTCAGTAGCTGCTAAGACAGGGAGAGTTCATTTCTTCCGGGGACGAACTTCTGTATAAGTTGCACAATCTCAAGTGATCAGCCTGGATCCAGATGTATTTTAAAATTTAAAAAGTAAAGCTAAATGTATTTGTATTCACTTGGCATGCTATATATATTACCTATATGCATACATGTATATATGTATGATTAAAGAAGAGATCATGAATTTGGGAGGGGACATGGGGAAGCACAGAAATCATAGATGCCATGCTCATATATGAAATTAAAAAAAAAACAATTTACAAAACCATTTGATAATACTCTTCCATATGTAGTTATGTTTCATTTCTTAGTAATAATTAATACTTTTTCTATACCTGAGGCTTTTTTTCTACTTGGTTCTTTATTCTTAGTGAGAGATCATTTATTAGTCACCAATACCCATCCCATCTTCCTTGGCAGGGCCTTGTTTGTTTAGGTTATTTCAAAGTCAAGAGCTTCCTGCTTTAGCCTACCAAGAGCTGGGTTTACAAACATGCTATCATGCTCCTAAGAGTAGTAGTCATACGTGTTTTGCAATGTACTGTCAGTTTGCATTCATTTATTGTTTTTGTTTACTGTCTTGTAGTTAAAAGCCCGACGATCTGAGTGTAATTCCAAAGCTACTCACGCAAGGAATGATTACCTTCTTACGCTAGCTGCAGCAAATGCACACCAGGACCGCTACTATCAAACAGATCTAGTTAACATAATGAAGGTAATGCATTTATATTTGTGCTAATTTTGCTTCATTAAGAATAAAACCAGCAAGCCGGGTGGTGGTGGCGCACGCCTTTAATCCCAGCACTTGGGAAGCAGAGGCAGGTGGATCTCTGTGATTTCGAGACCAGCCTGGTCTACAAGAGCTAGTTCCAGGACAGGCTCCAAAACCACAGAGAAACTCTGTCTCAAAAAAAAAAAAAAAAAAAAAAAAAAAGAGGGCTGGAGAGATGGCTCAGTGGTTAAGAACACTGCCTGCTCTTCCAAAGGTCCTGAGTTCAATTCCCGGCAACCACATGGTGGCTCACAACCATCTGTAAAGAGGTCTGGTGCCCTCTTCCAGCCTGCAGGCATACACACAGACAGAATATTGTATACATAATAAATAAATAAAATAAATATTTAAAAAAAATAAAAGAAAAAAAAGGTAAAAAAAAAAATAAATAAAACCAGCTCATGAACTAGGTATTGGGCATGAGGAATTGAATTATAGTATTATAGTTATTTTGTGTTTTATTGGAATGTTCTTGCTGTTGTTTGGTTGATTAGGTAGTAACTTCGAACTAATTTTTCATGTAAGAAACTGTTTAGGGCTGACATTAAAGCTTAGCTATTACCTGGCATATGTGTGAAAATATTTAAACCCAGATCACAGTAAAGGATTATATTATTTTTAGCCATTATTAATGTACAAAATAGAAGATGGGTATATAAGATGGGTTGGAGAACTGCTTCCGAATGATTTCCTGAGGCTGACATCAGTGGAATCGATTGTAGAGCCGCCAAGTGTGTAGCTAGAATGGACTCTAGCTGTGTCTCCAGACTATGTCCTCCCGCTGCAAGGAAAGGGGTGGAAGAGTAGAGACACATTTTAACATACTACCCACTTTCAGTTACGTTTTATTTTCTTTTTTTCTTCAGAGCCCAAACATTAAACTATTTTTCTTTTGAATTTTCAACATATCCTTTTCATATGTATTATTTTTGTTTGTTTGTTTATTTGAGACCTGTAGCCCTGACTATCCCCTGACTATCCTGAAACTCACTCTGTAAACCAGGCTGGCCTTGATCTCAAAAATCCTCCTGCCTCTACCTCTTGGGTACTGGGATTAAAGGTGTGTACCACCACCCCTGCCTCAGATCTGTGATTATGACTGTGCAGCAAACACTGCTATGTTGAATTGTTTGCTAAGGGCTCAGAAGTTAGAACTGGGGCTACAACTGGCATGGGCATTCTTTCCCTCTAGCTCCGGGAAAGAGACCAATTCTGTCCAGAAACCACAAGTTCATTTCTTGACAGTAGAGGCAAGGCATTTTCTGGGATCCTCAGGAAAAAAACAAATGTTAGAGGAAGTCACTGAACTAAGAAATACCATACTGCATTTTTTTTCTTGTTTGTTTATTGCTCAGAATTCCCTTTTCATCCTAACTACCCTGTTATGATTACTGGTGATCAGAATGCAAGTCACAGTAATGAGATCAGGGAATTAGAGGCAAACTCTGCTTACTCCCCACTCACCCACTCCCCCCAGAGTACTGGGGCCAGACCTGCAGCTGTCTTAGGTCCTACTAAGTGTAATTTCAAACAGTGTATTTGCTGAAAATGTAAGCCTTTAGTATAGGTTGTAATTGGAAGTAGTAATTCTGTATACCCTATATATGTTTTCTGTTAAATCAGATCTGATAAATACAAATTGAATATCCTTTATTTGAAATACATGGGATCAGAAGTGCTTCAGAATTTGGAGTATTTTGGATTTTAAATATTGGAATCAGGGATGCTATGCTTAACCTAAATATATTACCCTCTGTATATACTTTTAAAATTGACACATATTAGCTTAAGCAGCAGCAAAATAAAATCCCAAGTAAAGTGTGTGTGCCTAACATGCATAAAACTCTGGCTTCAGTCCTTAGCACTGAGTTTTATAAAAAGGTAAATAGTAATGAGATCAGGGAATTAGAGGAGAACTCTGCTTCCAAGCCACTCCCCCCAAAGTACTGGAGCCAGATGTCGCTGTTTAGTTAGGGCTTCCATTGCTATGAAGAGAATACACAACCACAGCAACTCTGGTAAAGCAAAACATTTTATTGAGGTGGCAGTTGATAGCTTCAGAGGTTTAGTCTGTTATCATGGTGGGGAGCATGGCGGTGTGTAGGTAGACATGTTGCTGGAGAAGGAGCTGCTGTGTGTTGATATGCAGGCCACAGGAAGTAGACTGTTTCCCTGAGAGTATCTTGAGCATAGGAGATCTCAAAGCCCACCCTGCTCCAGGAACACACTTCCTCTAAGGCTATACCTACTGCAACAAAGCCACACCTCCTAATGGTGCCACTTCCTTTGGGGGCCATTTTCTTTCAAACAACCATAGAAATCATACTTTATATACTAAAATTGAAACCACATCAAACATCAAAAACATGTTTTTGTTGTTGTTGTTGTTGTTTTATGTGTGGGATTTTTTTTGGGGGGGGGGGTGTTGGGACAGGGTTTCTCTGTTGCTTTGGAGCCTGTCCTGGAACTAGCTCTAGTAGACCAGGCTGGCCTTGAACTCACAGAGATCTGCCCGCTGTGCTGGGATTAAATGTGTGCGCCACCACCACCTGGGTTAAGGAAAAAAATGGTCTTAATAAACCAGGTTTATTCTATAAATTCATTTTGCCAGGTGAGGTGGCACATGCTTTTAATCTAGTACTTGGGAAACATAGAAAGTTCTAGAATAGCTTTATAGGGAGACTCTGTCTCAGTGAAAAAGGAAAAATCCTCATTTTCTTTTCATGGTAATTCTGTGACCTGCAGGATTAGAAAATGTCATGCTTTTAGCTACCTAGTGAATTTTATCACCGAATTTACAGTAGTACTCATACTCTTCCTGGGGGAAATGTCTCTTTTCATAAATGGATGTCATGGTGATATGGCCTCAGGATCTCTGGTGTGTGTGTGTGTGTGTGTGTGTGTGTAGTAAGATGGGTACTGTTGCGGAACTGTAATCCTAATATTTGGGTCCCTGAGTCTGGAAGACCCTACATTTGAAGCCATCCTTGTATATATAGTGAGTCCCAGGCCACCGTGGCCTACATAATGCATCTCATAAAATCTTAACCAAACAAATACACAGATGCCTTAGAAGCAAGATATTTATTTACTTAATCATATGCAATTAATAGTCACAGTGTGGTAGCTACTGAGCTAAGTCATGGAAGAGGCAAAAACAAGTTAAAGAAGTTTTTCAGTAGCACATTCTCTATCATAAATAGGTTGTAGAACTAGTCCAAAGGGGGGGAGTCAGTACTGCTCAGACGTTCTTTCTGTGTTTCTCTAGTTAACATTTCCTGTGAATTTCAACTATTATTTCAGGGTGTTTTTTTTTTTCTTCAAAAAAGTGATATCTCTCTCTCTCTCTCTCTCTCTCTCTCTCTCTCTCTCTCTCTCTCTCTCTCTCTCTCTCTCTCTTTGTGTGTGTGTGTTTGTGTAGGCTGAGGTAAGATCTTACTATAGTGACCTTGATGTCTGTCATTGAATTTGAGGTTCTCCAGCCCCAGGATTACAGGTGTGGATTACATTATGCCTCCATGTCTGACTATTTTTTTAACTTTTAATTTTTTCTTGAATTATGGACATAGCTCAAGAGATGCAGTGCTTTTCTAGCTCGTACAATGCCATGATGCCCTGGATTTGGATTTGATACCTATCGTCGATTAAGGGGGGTACTTTCTTCTCTTATTCTACCCCAACCCCTTCTGGTTTATAGATGTGTGTGCACCTGTGTACTCATATGGAGAATGGAGGAGAAGGTTGTGTATCTTCTGCCTTACTTGCTTGAGGCAGGATCTCTCCCGGAACCAGGAACTAGGCTGGCAGCCAGTAAACCCAGTGACCTTTCTGTGTCCCCCAGTTCCTCCCGGGCTAGGGATTTGAACTCAGTTCCTTCTGCTTGTGCAACAAGTGCCCTGCTGTGTCCGGGAAGGCCTAGTTGTTGGGATTTTAAAGCCCTTCTTAAGAACCAGCGTTCTAACTCCAGGTTTGGGAAGTCTGAGACCAGTCGTCCTAAAGGCTTGGCAGCTCTCTGAAACTCACAGCTTCTTTGGTATTGCATTCTTCTTCAGCCTCAGTGCTCTGTTCTCTCAGTTTCTGCTATCCTTCTTGTTTCAGCTGCTTCTCAACCTGTTCTGCTGCTTCTTGGGCTATGACAGCTGTCACAGTTGCCGCCTTTGGGGATGCATCTATACTGCCTCTGCTGCTGTCACCACCAGTCTTGCAGTTCCACCTGTCTTTAATTTTTATGTTTTATTTACTATTGTGTATGTGTGGAGGTGAAGAGAGAAAAATGTATATGTGTGCATGCAGGTGGCTGTCATAGCACACGTGTAAACTTGTAGAGAACAGAGGATAACTTTTATTTTTTTTAAAGATTTATTTATTATGTATACAACTTTCTGCCTCCGTGTATGCCCACATGCCAGAGGAGGGCGCCAGATCTCATTACTGATGGTTGTGAGCCACCATGTGGTTGCTGAGAATTGAACTCAGGACCTCTGGAAGAGCAGCCAGTGCTCTTAACCTCTGAGCCATCTCTCCAGCCCGAGGATAACTTTTAGAAGGTGGCCCACAACTTCCAGGTGATTATCCTGTTTCTGCCTCACATACAATGGTAAGATTACAGATGCGCACCACCACATGGATCTCCGGGATCAAGCTTAGATTATCAGGTTTGTGCCAGATTTGTTCAGCAAGCACTTTTACCTGGTGAACCTTCTCAGTGGTCCCTGCTTTGCGATTGCTGCAGCTCAGTGTGCCAACTGTCCAGCTCTGCCTTTCTTCAGCTGTCTCATCATTTGTGCTGTCCATGGTCCTGGCGACACTGGTCACTGCTGTTGCCACTTCCGTTACTCTACCATGACCTCTGCTGCTGCTCTTTGTGATACCACCTAACCAACCAACCAACTAACTAACTAACCAACTAACCAGCTAACTACCATTGCTGAAATCGTTTAGGA